AATTTGACTACGACTATATTGGTAAGCAATCGCTCATTTACACGGCTTCGGGTTTAGGGTTTAGGGTTTAGGGTTTAGGGTTTAGGGTTTAGGGTTTAGGGTTTAGGGTTTCGGCTGTTGCCGTGTCTTGCTCTTATGGAGCGCTCCATGCGCCGGAGGTCTGCTGCATGTTCGTTGCCTGTTTCTCAGGGTTTAGGGTTTAGGGTTTAGGGTTTGGGGTTTAGGTTTTAGAGTTTAGGGTTTTGGGTTTGGGTTTTAGTGTTTAGGGTGTAGGGTGTTGGGTTTAGGGTTTGGGGTTTAGGGTTTAGGGTTTAGGGTTTAGGGTTTAGGTTTTCGGGCCTAGGGTTTAGGGTTTAGGGTTTCCTCCGCTGCTCCCTCCCACGCATCCCCCAGGGTTTAGGGTTTAGGGTTTAGGGTTTCGCGCGCTCCCTGCCACTCGTCCCCTAGGGTTTAGGGTTTAGGGTTTAGGGTTTGTGGTTTGTGGTTTGTGGTTTGCGCGCAGTGATTGGGGGGGGTTCCGGGGGTTTGGCGAGCGGGAAGCAAGCAGCAGCACTGGGGGCTAGGGTTTTGCTGCTGGACTTCGTAAAACCCTCAATTAGAGGTTTGCGTTGGGGTTTAGGAGGGACTTGTGTTAATGTGGGGTGCATTCCGAAAAAGCTGCTGCACTTTGCTGCTCTTATCCGCCAATTTGGGGTTTGGGAGGCCCCCCTTTTTGGCTGCAACCCCCACGTTCCGCTAAACCCTTTTTCAGGGTTTCCCGAAACCCAAGACTCGCCCTGCGACTGGCAAACCCTCGTCGAGGTGACCCAAACCCTAAACCCTAAACCCTAAACCCAAAGCTGCCGCTGACGCGCCAAACCCTAAACCCTAAACCCTAAACCCTAAGCTGCCGCTGACGCGCCAAACCCTAAACCCTAAGCTGCGGCTGACGCGCCAAACCCTAAACCCTGATTTGCTGCTGCGTTCATAAACCCTAGTTTGCTGCTGATTCCCTAAACCCTAAACCCTAATTTGCTGCTTAACTTTTCGTCTAACTCGCAGCCAGAAGAAACTCACTCCTCAAACCCTAAACCCTAAACTCTAATATGGGGTTTAGGGTTTAGGGTTTAGGGTTTAGGGTTTGGTTTTATATCTATTTCTTTTACTTGCCAATTGAATAGCTAACTGCAACTTGCCGAATTAACCGCCAAGTATTTTGTGTGTTGCTGCTGCTGCTGCTGCTGCTGCTTCTGCTGCTGCTGCTGCTGCTGCTCCCTCCTGCTGCTGCTTGCTTCTGCTGCTGCTTCTGCTGCCACTCCTGCTGCTGCTTCTGCCGCCGCTGCTCGCTTCTGCCGCTTGCTTCTGCTGCTGCTTCTGCTGCTGCTGCTGCTGCTGCTGCTACTGCTGCTGCTGCTGCTGCTGCTGCTCAGAGAGTGCAGTCTTACATAAAGCAGCTGAACTTCAGCTACCGCGTGGGCCTGCAGAATGCGGGGTGTACGTACACCCGAGCTCTGGGGCGGGTTGTGGGGCCCCACACGGTGGAGTTTGAAGAAAAGGGAGTTGTGAGTTTGCTGCTGCCAAACTTAATTAATATAATCCGCAGCAGCAGCAGCAGCAGCAGCAGAAGCAGCAGCAGCAGCAGCAGAAGCAGCAGCAGGAGCAGCAGAAGCAGCAGCAGAAGCAGCAGAAGCAGCAGCAGAAGCAGAAGCAGAAGCAGCAGCGAAAGCAGCACGAAAAGAAAGCAGCAGCAGCAGCAGCAACAGCAGCAGCAGCAGCAGCAGCAGCAGCAGCAGCAGCAGCAGCAGCAGCAGCAGCAGGCGTTTGTGGGCGCAGCTTAGCGAAAACGGGGTCTTTTTGTGCGGGAAAAAGCGCAGCAGGTGTTGCGGGGAAAGGCGCATTTGATTCTGCAATTAGTTTTATGTTTTTATTCTTTTTTTTGTTTTATTTTTCTTCAAATGCAGAAAAAAGAAGTTTCCGGAAAACACCTGCTGCTGGCCGTCGGCGGCCGCCCCCACGTGCCCCCGGAGGTCCCCGGCGCCCGCGAGTTTTGCGTCACTTCCGACGAGATCTTCAGTTTGAAAAACAGTCCCGGAAAAACGTCAGCAGCAGTTTTTTTGTCCTCAAAAAGCCTCCGAATTGTCTCTTTTATTGTCTCCTTTTTGTCTCCTTAGTGGCCTCCTTTGGTGGCTCTTTAGTTGCGCTTTTTCCGGCTTTTTTGGACTTTTTTTGGACTTTTTTGGCTCCGAATTGGCTCTTAATTGTCTCCTAATTGTCTCCTTTATTGTCTCCTAAGTGTCTCCTAATTGTCTCCTAATTGTCTCCTAATTGTCTCCTGATTGTCTCCTTTATTGTCTCCTTTAGTGTCTCTTTAGTTGTGTTTTTATTTGCTTTTTTTTTCTTTTTTTGGCTTTTTGGGACTCTTTTTGGGACTTTTGGACTGCTTTTTTGTCGTTTTTTGTCTCCTTTTTGTCCTTTTAATTGTCTCTTAATTGTCTTTTTAATTGTCTTTTTAATTGTCTTT